CCCACCAGGTCTCCATTATCCCAATGACATTGTAGTTATTTCCATTTAGGAGGAGAACAAGTTCCCCCTGCTTATCCCCCATGCTCCTGGCATTTGTGTAAGTGCAAGTACTTAGCCCAGTATGTATTGGGCTAAGCAGGCAAGATACCTTCCCCTTGCAAGGAAAAATACCTGCTCAAGGGAAGGTGTGCACAGCAAAGAATACGGTGTGGGAAAATCCAGTTGGAGGAAATTTGCAGATCTTATTCAACTGAAAATTTGCAGATTTTTTTTATTGTGCATTTTACCAGCTTTTCTTGACCCAGAAGAAACCAGGGGCCTCTTTCTAGATGGGAGAGATCTAGAGCGGACTATCGGTCAGGAAATATTTTAGTCAAATTTGCTTTGAAACCTCCAGTAAGTTGCAGCTCAAGAAAACCTGAGAGAACAAGATTGACTCGCCATCGTCAAGGGGGCTTGAGGGTTAGAAAAGTGCTGTGCAACCACTGTCCTGCTCTCCATGCCTCTGAAAGGTGCAGAAATGAGCACCTTGGAGTGCAAATGCGTCTGTAAAACCTCTCTGTGACAAATCACCTGCAGAGCTCTGTTCTGGAGGGACTGTCTCTGAGGAGGAAGCAGGTGGGTCGGCCTGTGCAGTATGAGCTGGTTGCAATGGGGAAAGTAGGAACTCAAGAGAGAACCTGCTGTTTCACAGGCTATCGGACAGCCTCCGCCAGTAACAGCTTTGGAACTGTCCAGTGCATTGAGATGGGCTTGAACTTGGCGGTCAGGGCCCTGCACCAGCCCCAGTGAAAAAGGAGAGGGAGTTTTCCCATTGCCTTTTTCCTGGGAGGTTGATTCTGACCCCTGCTGTGAGATTGGTTTTGAACTCTCTTTACAAACCCCTGGAGGGCTGTCCATTTCCCTTATGAAAACAATGTCAAAAAACAGTTGCCTCTGTCAATTTGGAGCTCCAGGTCCACTCCTTCCCTTAGGTTTTCTCATTGCTGGTGATTAGCATTGCAGTACCACTGAGCAATCCCAGCTCCTAGCCAGCCCCCCAGGGCTCTGGGTGCTCTCCAAGGCAGAGAACAAGGAAACAGTCCCTGTCTCCAAAAGGTCATGGTTTTAATAAAGGTCTCGTGCTATAGATGCAAACCCAGTTGCATCTCTGTGGAGAGTCGTTGATCTAGAATGAAAGTATTTGCCTCTTGTAAGGTCCTTTTCTGCTTTTTTTCCCCTTTTCTTGCACCGTTTAGCCTCTCTGCCCTCTGCGGTCTGACCATGATGGAGGATGATGACGGCATGAGTGAGAGGGCCTTCAGCAACTCAAGGAGGAGATATGATGATGAAGAAGGTAAGAAAAGCCCCAGGGCTTCCCACCTGCCGTGTGGGTTACAGTCCAGCTCCTGCTGACTCTCTCTTCACCTGAGAGCGGTGGCAGTCTGTGTCCCTAGCTCCCTTGGTG